TTCATCGTCATCATTCTCATAACGGCCATGTCGTTGCCACTCATAGGTGCCTTGCCTCTCCTGCTGCCTCTGATCACGTTCATCGTCATCATTCTCATGACGGCCTTGCTCTTGCCACACTCGGCTCTCTAGCCATTCGGAGGCCACTGTGTTGCCGTGCTCATCTGTGTATGGGTCTCTCAAGCGGCCCCCGCAGGAGGCCTCTTTAGTGCGTGGAGGTGTGTCGCGCAGCAACTTGCATTTTGCTTCGTATTCTTTCCTTCCGAAATGACAGGGTGCCCTAGACCTTGCATATTGGTGGGGGAAAGAAACATGAGGAAACTGACCTACGCAATTGCTGTTGAAAACAATGCGTTGTTATCACCGTGAATTAAGACTCCCACTCCTGCATCGAGACATCCACAGAACTTCTTGCTCTTGCCGCAATTTCTCTTCGTCGTGCAGTACGCAGTAAGGATGCGCTCGAAATCCACACTGATCGCATTCATACCCCCAAGATTGGAAGTTAAACCAGCCAGTCTTGGAGGTTGAACAAATGCTGCATGAGTATGATGGTGGTTGATACAGGTTGTCTTGGGGTTGAAATTGTCGCAAGGTGTGGGGATGGTGCTCGGTATCAACACACGGAGGAAGAGTGTTCCTCTTGCTAGCCAGTTCGTCATCAGCTTGCTTGTGCATTTTGACAACCATGGGCGGATAGTGCGAGGTCGTGTGAGCATCCATCCTGTGTGGCAAATTTGACTCATGCGAGTGTGCATTCCAATGATAGCTGATAGCTTACGGCGGTTTTGCTTCTGGGATTCCAAGGCTTCTCGAATATGGGGAGGCAGTGCAAAAGGATCATATTACAAGCCGGGCATCCATCGAGAAAAGCATGTTAAATTGCCAAACAAGTCAACACGCACATCTTCAAGAGCTTCTGCACCGGGACCATCACACAAGTAAGTGTCTCCCTCTTCCAAGCACAATGAGTTGCCATCCCACTTGTCTCGGTCTTCCTGTCACACCCGAAGGGACAAATATGGAACATGAATGAATCCACCCACGCTGAGGGCATGTCTTTGGGAGGTCTTGTTGAGTTGGAAAAAAGAGCATGATTGGGACAAATGGTGATGCAAAAAAATATTGAATGTAATGTCAAACTGTATGATTTGCATCTGGGAGCCGTGTGATCTTGGAAATTGCGGTATAAGTGATGGGACTATGGAGTGTAAAGAGGTTTCGTTGAAAGATCACTAAGTCCTGCTGCAAACAGTAACGGCCAGTCAAAGCAACGCTGAGCTGGCTGTGGCAGGACTATGTGACGAAATCCAGTAGGACTGGCTGACTGGCGGGCATGAGGAAGGTCTGCGAGAAACCATGATCAGGGACGGACAGGAATGTGATGGCATCATGCACACGATGTTCGATAGCACAAAGATCTGGCATAGGCTTAGGATTGCAAGGAGATGATGGGTAAATGTGTAAGGGCGCATGCTTCGAAGTTTGTGAAGAAACTTGGGTTTTCAAACGTTTTGACCATGTAACGTAAGAAGCTTGCATGTCCGTGAGGCTTAGAAAGGTCGGGAATTGGGCTGTGAACACCGGGTGGATAAAGCGGCTATACAGACATATTATGTTTTAAGGTGGCTTGAACATGAAAGGATTCAAGAGATCTCCGGTTCCTGCCATGGTTGAAGTGGAAACATATCATAGGTTCTTAGGAAAACTATCCATACATCTCAACACCAGAAACAGGCCTCATGGTAGCGAGATAATTGTGGAAGGCCCCGCTCGCTAAAGCCAAACGATAGGTATTCTGCAGGAGCTTCACTGGAATCAAGCCGCCACTTTTCCGTCAACTTCGGCCAAAGTCGCGGAGCATCCGCTCGTATGTTGCTCCGTCCCTGTCGAAGCTCTGATGAAATTTGCAAGCGGCGGATCATCACGCGCTCTGGGTACGATCGTCGGTCTAAACATCTGTAAACTCTGCCTTGATGAACTCCCAAGACACTACAGCATGTTGGAAACGTGGGCGTGCCTCATGGCAACGGAAACTCCGTGTTCTGTTAGTGTGGAGTTTTGTTTGTTTGTATGCTGTGGAGCCCGAGATTAGATTACACATCCATACACATCCTGAAACTGTAGCAGCATGGCCGGCCTTCGTCCCCATCAACTAGCCACAATTCTTCCCTCATAGAGGTAACTTTGATAGCTGAGGAAAGGTCAAGGGCCAAAGACATCAACCTCAGATCCAAGATCACTAGGATCCAGGGAACATCGACAGAAACTTGAAATCTTGCAGGACATGGTAAAACAAAATGAACAGAATCATGTAGAATCATCATGACATGAAATGGCAAGTGACACACCGCCGCTGTGAATGTAGACTTCGCCATTGGGACCTGGAATCAACGGGTGGGGGTCGCCTGATAGCTCGCCTGACGAAGGATGGGGCTCTGCACGTGCTGGAAACCAGAAGCGTAGCTCCGAGCACGGACCATCACAGCAACCTCGTGCTGCAGGGTCTCCGATCGTTGCGACGTGAGTCCAAGTCGGCCCACAGCTTTTGAAAGCGAAGATCGCGTGATCTCCTGCCAGTGTCAGAAGCACAGTGCCTGATCTCGTGCCTGAATCGCCAATCCATGCAATGCTAGTCGCTCTCTTGCTCACATCCAAGTGGAACTGGTCAAGATCACGAGAATCGTCACGAGAAGGACCATCTCCGCGCAGTTTGCTGAAGACCACATGGCGCCCAGTGCCTTTGCGTCTCTGAATTGAGATCGCAACCAGGTTAGTGCGATCCACGCACGCAGCTTCACAGCTCACTGTTGAATCTGTCAAGGATAGCCATGGAATACTCGTTGGGCAAAGCTCACAACAAATGAGATGGCCTGCCTCACATCAGCAGGTACTGCCACATCACAGGGTGCACCACAAGACTGCCACAAGACCACCGTATGAATGTTTGCTGCATTCATAAACACAATGCTCCATGGCTTCCTCATATTATGAAAACAAATGCACACCAAACTAATTAACTATACACTCTGAACTGCTGCGAGGTGCATCGCCAGAAGGGTTGGCTATAGCGACTGCCATCCCTATAGATGGCAAGGGGAATCCAGAATGGCAAGCAACTGCATTCAAGCTGATCGCATGCCGCAATGGATGGCTTGCATCAATCTCAACTTCGAACAAATCATTGTCCGTGATGACGCAAACCTTAACTTGTGAGGCCATTGAACACGCGGTTGTGCACCAGCTTCTGAACTGATCTACTCTACAAAAACACACCCAACACTCGGTACACAGTTCGTAGACAAAAGAATCCAAGGGATTCGGACTTACAGTATGAAAGAGTTGCCAACATATGGCGCAGTCACTCCGCTGCCTATGTGCACTTCACCTGATCCCTTGCCATCGCCCTTCACCATGGCAAACTCGGCGCCTTCATCTGGACGATACACAGCAACAAGAAGGCCCACCTCTGGGTCGAGGCCTGCGCAACACACCTTCTCCATTGAGCCAAACCGATCAAAGGCCGTATCGTCTGGAAGCTGAAGCTCCTCCAAGAAGCTCGAAGTTTCAGGAACGACGCGCCAAGCTGCTTCGAATTTCCTGTGCGGCTCGGGAAACTTCAGCAGAAGTGTGGTTGCAATAGGGCCAGCTTCACATGGATCCGCCAAAAGATTGTCGTCATCCTTCACCACTTGGTGTCCAATCATGATTTCCTGAGCTGCTAGTGGAGTTCCATACTTCTCCTGAATGATCTGCTTCAGCTCAATGCATCGGGCCTCATTACTCATCTTGAAGACTCCGAGGTCTTGCCCCGCAGTGCTCGTCACTTCAAACTCGGTCTCTGTCATCGAGCGAGACTAGAGCGCTATATTCTGAGTGCTCTACCGGTGCTATCAGGCTGCAAAAGAGTGAACCAAACAAGGAATGTTTAATCAAAAGGCGATAAATACTCAGGTTCTAATATACAGTGTAGCATATGTTGAAAAATCATATCTATATATACAGCACACAGAATTGGATGCCTGCAAGCTCTTGTCTGGAGTGTTCATTGATTGCCCGTGTCTGGCTTGTCTCAGTGCTTCTCTGGATTGAAAGGAACGAACAGGGACACAGGATCATATACACCGGGAAGCAATACGATATAATGACCAAACCAAATCCTAAATCTCCCCAAAATCGTACAAAAAAAACTGCATGGGCATGTGCCCAAGATTGCTCAAGTGCAACGTTCGCCCCTTTTTGCCTCTGGATCGTCACTGGCTTACACCTGACCTTCCACCCTTCAGGGCGAAACAACCACCTTTGCACCGCCTTTGGCGGTATGGAAGTGTTGGTCATGGCTATCAATTTTTCTGGACAGAATCCCGCTGAACCAAACATGGAAGCCAACAAGTTCCGGATCAAATGATCAAACAGAATCAAACATGTTATATATTTGTAATTTAATTGTGTTGAAGCCACGGTATTCCAGTGTTCCTATGACATCCTAGGCTTTGAAATCATGTAGCAGGACACATCTGCACCGCTCTAGGCCTCCAAGCAATCTCTCAGAAGAGCGCCTGCCCAATGGCCCCAACGTTCGAAGAAGAATCAAAGGACTCAGGGCAAAATACCAACCATGCCAACTACTATATAATTAGTAGCAAGAAGCTACTAGTAACAAGGGCACCGCTGCTAGTGACAAGATACCAACTATGTCAACTGGCTCAACGAAAAAAGCCGGCCTCGCCTATCTCGCCCTACTCACCCACCAGCATCCGTCAGCCCTGTCTGCCAGCCCTGGAAGAGCTCCTCCCTGGCCAAACGTGTGTTTGTTTAAACAATGAGTTTGCAGCAAGAATCTTTGCTGAAGTCATTGCATGCCTCCAAAACGTTCCATACTTGTTGAGACGTACCATCATGTTAATCATATGTTAATCCAATATCAATATGGGTACTGCCTCTGGTTTTGACCTTCGGCTCTCTGTCCTTCTGAGGCAGCCGTGGTCTTTCAACCACAACCAAACGACCACAGCCCTTTACTCAGCTCTTGCTGAGGAATAAAGGCCCTCCATAAATCATTAACTACCGGCAGGCACCGGCTGCATGTTGCAACGGTGCCATGTCTCTATGACCACAATACCAGAGAATAATCTACAACGCCTACAGGCCTATCACATCAGAAACAACATCAGCAGCATGGCTCACACCCACTGTTGCCATCCGTGGAACATCCTCCGCGACGAGTGCGTCAGAAACAGCCACACAGTGGTTCGCTGGTTCGCGCATATGTTCAAGCGTGTGTCTGTGTGCGTGTTGTACTTCAGGATATTTTCAAGGTATTGTACTTCAGGATCCTGCACAATGTACATGTTGCAAGTCGCAAGCCTGTTGTCGCCAATTATCAAATTCTCTGGTGCCAATGCGGCGGGAAACGTCACCCCTTCTCAAAACAATTATATAACTGACTGATTCGATGTTATTTGGCAATTGGAGGCTGCATAGCAATTTGAAAGAACCGTCGTAGACCAAATCAAACTGCAAATGGTGGAACATGTCTTCAAACAAGGCCGTCAAGTCTGAAAAATAGCTTAATATTGATATTGGAATCCGTGTGGCTGCTGTGTGGAGCGTTGGTCTACCTTTGCTCCAATTACAGCAAGTCACCTGTCATTGCCTCTGGTAGAACCGATTGATATGACATGGAGAAGTCTGCAAGGAAGGAGGTTTCTGGCACGGGGACGGCTGTCTGACCTTGTTAGATCCAAAACAGGTACCCATGAGCTTGCTCCAGTCTTGATTGCAACATGTAATGTGCTATTTACGCTATATACATAATATATGATGTTATACAAGCCATTAGTGGTCAATGCATTCGGTCATCTGAATTGCTGGACATTCGGTCAGGCTGTCCAAGTACTTGTCCAATTACATAATTCATTATAATTCTAAGTGCTGGTTCACTTTCATCTACTTGCCCACCTTTGGAATGTTGAAGCGGACCCTTGTCCTGCAAAAGTTTTGGAGATCGATGGCTTCATGAATGAGGCCGCGGACGTGTGCAGGAACACCCAAGTGCCCGCTGCCGCCGACCAGCTTTTCCTTCACGGTTAAGACTGCGCGCCTGGCAAAATCATTGCCCTCCTCCTCCTAGGTTGGACACAATCCCAAGCGCAAAGATTCAGAGACAGCATATGGAAGCTGCATTTGTGCAAAAGTCACTGCAAAAGAACTTATATAGTGCAGCAGGATCACGGAAAGGAGCTCGCCTGCCCATTGGCCCGAATGTCCTCAAACAATATTGGAAGACACTGACGGCTCAGTCCACCCCATGTATCTGCCTGTAAACGTGGAAGCTAGTTGGGGCATGTTGGGGCAGTCAAAAGCGAACATTCATCAGAATTGCAATTTGCATGTGATCACTGTGTTGCATGAAGCGGACCACCATGGCTGGGACTGACTGCTTGAACATCAAAAGGTGCTGCCATGCTGCCTGCCGCTTCGCCAGCTTCTTTTTGGACATTCTTTGGGGTCATGCATGACCAAGAGTAAATGGGGTCGTGCACAAACACCTCCACCACCTCAAGCGCGGTTGAAACCGTATAGGCGGAATGCGAACTGCGTCTGAGCACAACCAAATCGTATAAGCATATTGAATAGTTTCACGAGTTGATCTGAGATCACCTTCGTCACGATGGTCGTAACATGTCACCGATCGACCGGGTTCCTGGTATGTTACTCTACGAGTCTACGAGCGGTCCATCCTGTCAGGGGACAGCTTTCACCAGTGGTGCATTGCTGCGCAGCTGTGCCATCGCCGTCTCAGCGCAGCGTCGAAAGAGGCCACAGGTCCCAAGGCAACCGAGGCCTACGCGAGCAAAAGCCGTCGCTCTGTTTGCAAGAGCATGCTGGTTTGAAAATGTTGGATGTGAACTACTAGGGGCAAGGACGCTACTAGGGGCTCCTGGCATAACTACTAGTAACAAGAAGCTACTAGGGGCTCCTTTCTGGTTGGGAGCGTGAAGCCTCCCTGGTGCCACGAGCAGGCAAATGGCTGTCTAGTCTGCATACTGTTCTAGTCTCCTCTATGCCGCAGTATGTGGACATGCTGATATGGGATGTATTCATGCCAAGCCGGATTATATCCCAGAATTGGTTCTACGTACATTCGGCTTGAGGGCCTTGGACCCCTTTACTGTGCAATTACATGGACGTTACTGCCAAGCGCTGACGAAGCTGCTGCCATCGGACCTCTTTCAAAGGATGCTTGAAGTGGCTACAGCGTCAAGCCGGTTAAGCTGGCAGTATCGCCACAGGGTCCACAGATCAACGTTTTGGTCTCCCATGTCCTGCCTGCAACGATGTCACGCGTCAGGCGGAAGGGCACTTGCTCAGCCACTTTGAGCAAGCGCCCAGCTTCGAAGGCAATGCCGAAGTCAATGTGGATCAACTCACCTGTCCTGAGAGTCGATACGAAATGATATGAACGCAAATGTCAGTTCTCCAACCTCTCCTCAAAGCACAGAATTATAATGAATTAAAAATTGTTATGATTATCAACTGGTGCTTGTCGGACGAGCGCTTAAGTCTTGAGATGTCTTGAGATTATACACTTTTGGGAATCCTAGGAATGGCAGTGCGTAAAGGCTTTCCCTCGTGGATAAAGAAAGGCAGCTTCAATATGTAAATATTCCGATATTCCAACCAACCTTTACAGTATGCAGAGTGTTGCATTGGTGATCAATGGTGCGGCACACAAGCGTCTTCTCCCTTTTCCACCACACACGCACACACGGCCGGCAAGCAAACAATGCTGGGCTCTGGACAAGGGATGCCAATACCAATTGAAGTGTAGCAGCCAAACGTTGCAGCCTCTGCGCGGGCTTTGGCCATCTCCCGCATGAATGGTCTCTACCAGGTAGGTCAGCTTGTCTCACGCAGTATCTGTTGCCTCAAGCTCCTTTGGCTTTTCAGCACGGCGGAGTTCAGTGGCCTGGGGTTTCTTGCGGTAGTTCAAGTACACAGAGAAGGACACATACTGACCCCTCTTGAATCCCTTCCGCTGGGTCCGATGCACGAATGCATCCTGCCCACATTTCTTCGTGATCTCTGGGCAATCGATGAATCCATATCCCTTGTCCTCAAACCATAAGTAGATCACACCCACAAAACGCTTGTCAGTCAAGTCAGGCACCACCTCCATATCTGGAGGTCGGTAGTGTGGATGGTTGATGTTGCAAGAGGCTCCAGGTGGATACGGATCTTCATCCTCTGGCGGTTCCTGAGCCACCTCTGGGGTCATCATGTGCCCCTGTTGCATCATTCCCACTCCCATTGGGTGTGATGGCAGCACACCAGCCATTGGATTCATTTGCATCATGCCAGCCATAGGGTTGCCCATCATCATGGCCATTTGTTGTTGCTGCTGCATCATTGCCATTGGGTTCATGCCTGACATGGGGCATGTGCAGCCTCCACATCCACCACAGCCACAGCCGCAGCTGCAAGAGCAGCCACATCCACAGCCAGGGCAGCAGCCGAAGCCACCATGATCATACCCACAAGCACTACATGGAGGGCAAGACATGCATCCCATGTTGTTGCCTGCACTTGACAAGCCAGGCATGAATGTCTGCCCATTGCCCCGAATTCCACCTTCATCTCTTTTCTCAGCAACTACCATGCCATGATTGCCATGGGCTGGTGCCGGCGCACTTCCAAGGCTGGGAGCTTGGATGTGCACTGGACTGCGAGATCTGCTGCGCTCAATCTTCGGGCCCTGCCTTTGCAAAGCTTCAATTTTGGGTTTCAATTCATCGGCCGTCTTCTTGAGTATTTCCAGGAGGTTGAGGTCACTCATAAAAGCAGCGTCTCGATGGGAAAGAGGTCACGCACCATGCCCAAAGCAGCGTGGGAACACATGGTGCTGGGGCTATGCAGTGTCACCTCTTTCTACCTGCTGGGTAGCTGCACATCTATAGTTGTATTGGATGGTATCTAAGAGCAAGGGGCCGAGTTTTTGCATTTCGTGGTTCAATCCCAGTCGTACGTTGAGTCAGCAGTCAGGTGGTGGGATGGAATGTAAAATGATTTGTCCAACATATTTTAAAAAAGAAACATGCATACTGCTACTGGTATTCTAGGTCTGGGTGGTCGCGTGCGTGAGCCATCTTGAGCCATGCACTCGCCATGTACAAAATACTTGTGTCATACAATCATATATAATCAGTATCATGGCACTGTCAAGTCGAGGCTCCGTACGTCAAAAAGGATATTGTTCGGATGACGGTCACCAAGGCCAACGATGTAGCCTGCAAATGAGACACATGCGTAACATCCAATACCGTTTCTTTTTCAGGACACAAATGTATTATGTTCCAATATGTTCCAATCAAATCGATATGCCGACATGCCTCAGTAAGCCAAAAGACTGGCACCTTTCTTCAACTCATGTTGCTCGTGTGATATGTCCAGGCCTACGATAGAACTCACCGCAGTAGATCGTGCGTAGGCCTGCCGTGCCCTGTGCCACTCTTGTGGTGACCAAAAACGCTGCAGGAAAACAAGGTGCATCACCTGGGCGTCGTTATCCGGTGAAGAATCAAAGCCAAACCCGGCCAAACAACAACCGACCAAGCAAGTTGACAGGTTGGGAGGAGTTTGAAAGGATGTGCACAGCTCTTAAGGTGGACGTCACATGAGTAGAGGCAGTCTTGAATAGTGGCTGCGCTCACTTGTGTGGGTGGGTAGAGAACACCTGAAACGCAGGTC